CTCCCTCCCTCCTCCCCGCGCCGCGCCGGGGTGTGAGGCCAGCTGCGGCCGTGCACGCTCCGAGGTCTCCCGCCTGGCGCCCCGGGACACAAGCGGGGATGCCTATGGGGCTCCGGGACGCAGCTTCCGGGACCCGCGCGGGGGACACGGGGGCGCGGGCGGGCACACGCAGGGACCCGGACGCACGCAGACCTCAAAGGCGCGCGGGGAGCACACAAGCACAAAAGCACGCGGAGCAGAGACACACGGAAGGGGGTGCAGGGGACTGAGAAAAACACACCCGCGGGAGGGGGTGGCAGGACCTGCAGGGACCCTGGGGTTCCAGCCGAACAGGGATATCCATAAAACTGAGCTACACACACATAAGGACACCCGGGGGCACCAGACACATGCAGGATACACAGACACACCACACCGTGGGAAAGGACGGAATGTCTTTAGAACTGAAATATACATAGAGCCAAGCCCAGGGGCACACAGCTCACACAAGATACACAGACGCATAGGAAATCACAGATAACAGAGGGAAATACACAGAACCAGGATACAGCCCCCCCCATAACAAAATGCACCAGGTGCACAGCCGTGGGACTCCCCTATACACACAAAATACCCCAATACATGGATATATACACAGAACTGGAACCTGCTCCTAGACACACACCATGTACACAGTCTTAGGCACATGCAGACGCAAAGTTCACAGACCCACACATATATGCACGGCCACTTATTGTCAGATGGGCCAGAGGCAGAGGCACACAGGAATTCATAGAACCAATACCCACACCCACAAGACCCCTGGCAGATCTCCAGGACTACAGGAGTCCACATGAACACACATGAAATTCAGGGACACAAGGACACGTGTACCCGGGACCGTCAGGCCAGGTGCACAAGGAAGTGGATTTGCCCTGACATCCCAGAGATGCTTACACAGACCACCCCCCCACTCCCTGACACACACACCAAGTACAGGGGTACACACGGCACATTGGACGAGGGTCTCTCAAGGGATATTCACACAGAACCCCCCCAAAACTCCCCAACACACACAAGCCTCTGCGCCTGCAGTAGCCACCATGGCTGGTGGAGAGAGGTCACATCAGGGCAAACCGTGGCACCAGGTGGCCTCCCATTGGCTGGGATTGAGCTGACAGATTTCTCATTCTGTTTATTAATGTATCCGCTCCCCCACTTCTAAGAGGGGGTTGGAGAAACCTTTGGGGCCACCCTGTCCGGAGCCTTGGAGCCCGGCTACTGCCTAAGAGCCTGCCTACCTGGAGCCATAGAGCCTTGACCATAGCCTCAAGGCCTTAATTGCTGTATTTTTCCACTTCCCCCTCTTCTGCTACTTGCACCGCTGTAGGGCTGTGGGCGTAGATAGCGTTGCTACCTTGCCAAAGATAGCTAGGGACTTTTCTATTTCCTGGAACGACTTGCCCCGTGGTTTTTCTCAGAAAACATCTGCTGCATACTTCCTTATCTGCTGTCCCCTTTTGCTGTCTATATAAGCTGTGACCTTCTGGCTAATAAACGAGACTTGATCAGAATACTGTCTTGTCTCCATTTCTCTCGTCCCTTGTCCCATCCAATTCCCACTCCCCCCTCCAGGGTCTGCGTTGAATATTCCATGGGTCGGGACATTTCTGGCACCCAATGTGGGGCACTGGATACGGGGGATATCGTGAGGAAGACGGTGCATCAGAGGGTCGACCGCCTGAACCGAAAGCAAAGCCCTTTGTCTGCCACGGGAGCCTGCCACGCCACGATTTGGGTAAGTAAGCATGCCTGATAATGGGACAAGAATTAAGTTGTCATGACATCTACATAAGACAGTTACAAAAGGCTTTAAAGACGCGAGGAGTAAAGGTTAAAACAACTGATCTATTAAGATTTTTTGATTTCGTGAGGGATCTTTGTCCTTGGTTCCCAGAAAAAGGGACTATTAATTATAAAAAGTGGTCTCAAGTTGGAGACGCTTTACAAGATTTCTATGAGACTTTTGGGCCGGAAAAGGTCCCTGTTACTGCCTTCTCCTATTGGAATTTAATCAGGGACGATTCAGGATAGGGAAAAATCCCCAGAAGTTTCAGAAACTGTGGCCCAAACTGAAAAAATATTAAAAGCCAGTTCCAAGACTGACCTCCGAAATCCCTCTCCACCGCCTAGGGAGGATGTAGATCTAATCTCTCTAGAAGACAAGAGTGAGGAGGTCAAGGCAGCCGGTGCCATACCTAAGAGATCTAAAAAGTATCCACTATTAAAATTCCAGGATGATGAGGAGGCACAGAATCCTGATCCCTCAGGAGTTGATTGGGGCGAATTAGAGAAGGAGGCCGCTGAGTATTCTGGTTTTGGTGGGGCCCCGCCTTTGTTGTGGCCCCCTCCTTCTAACACGGGTCTCTGCCCCTACAGTAATGGCTGCACTAGATTCCAAAGAAGAGCTTGAGGAAAAAATAAAACAGAGAAACAAATAAAATTAGAAGAACAATTCCAGGCCTTAACCGCCAGATTACAAGAATTAAAAACAGGACATAACAACGCATCAAATCAGGCCAAACGGGCAGGCTGGCTCTAGTCCGCCTACGCGCGGTAACTTAATTGCCCAAGATTTCCTTCATTCAGACGAAATTTATAATTGTCAGATTGAAGCCTACCCAGTGTCTGAATCCGTGGACAGTGTAGGACGGGCTACACGAAAACATGATAGGCTTGGATTTAATATCATCAGAGTTAAAGACCGCCATCTCCCAGTACGGCCCCACAGCACCATATACTCTTGCTATACTGGAATCTGTAGCCGAGAGCTGGCTCACTGCTATTGATTGGAACACCCTCATCAGAGCCACGCTCACGGGGGGGGGGCGATTATTTACTCTGGAAATCAGAGTATCATGAAAACTACAAGGACACTGCTAGAAAAAACCTCCAGGCTGATGAAGACTGGGGACTTGACATGTTAACCGGTCGCGGTGATCACTCTAGCATAGAGGAGCAAAAACAATGTGACCCTGGTCTTTTTGCCCAAATCCAAACGGCTGCCTTAAAGGCATGGAAAAGGCTCCCCAGTAAAGGAGACTCAAGCGCCTCACTCACTGGGGTAAAGCAAGGGCCTGACGAGCCTTTATCAGACTTTGTAAACAGATTAATGACAACAACAGAAAGAATACTGGGTAATGTTGATGCTAATCTGGACTATGTAAAACAGCTGGCTTTTGAAAACGCCAACCCTGCCTGCCAGGCAGCCATTAGGCCTCGTAAAAATAAAACTGACCTTCAAGGGTATATTCGCCTTTGTTCAGACATTGGACCCTCTTATCAACAGGGTCTGGCTATGGCAGCTGCTTTTAGCAGTCAGACTGTAAAAGACCTTTCTGGCTAACCAAAATAAAAATACTAGGGGGTGTTTCAAATGTGGCAAATCCGGACATTTTGCAAAAAATTGTCAAAATAGTCATAATAAAGAATCAACTAAAGCCCCGGGACTTTGCCCGCGGTGTAAACGAGGAAAGCATTGGGCCAACGAGTGCAGATCTAAGACTGATGTTCAGGGAAATTCCTTGCCACCCCTTCAGGGAAACGGGAATAGGGGCCAGCCCAGGCCCCAAAACAAGTTTGTGGGGCAGTCAGCTTTGTTCCAGCCAGCCACAACAATCCATTTCAAAACTCAGTAGAGCAACCCCAGGGAGCACAGGACTGGACCTCTGTCCCACCTCCTGCACAGTATTAACTCCTGAAATGGGAGCGCAGTCCTTAAACACAGGGGTCATTGGTCCATTGCCTCCCGATACTTTCGGATTGAGCCTGGGTCGAGGCAGCTCCTTTAAAAAGGGGTTACTAATATTTCCCGGAGTAGTTGATAATGATTATACAGGGGAAATTAAAATTATGTCCAAAGCAATTAGTAATCTTGTCACTATCCCTCAAGGGGAAAGAGTAGCCCAACTAATCTAACTTCCGCTACTAAAAACTGGACATAAAACTCATAATACTATGAGGGGATCTGGAAATTTTGGGTCCTCTGATGCCTACTGGGTTCAACAAATTTCTCATCAGAAGCCCTCTCTCACCTTGTGGTTAGATGGTAAACAATTTACTGGCCTGATAGATACTGGGGCTGATGTTACCATTATTAGACAGAAAGATTGGCCCACCAATTGGCCCACTTCTGAGACCTTGACCAACCTAAAAGGAATTGGTCAAAGCAACAATCCTAAACAAAGTTCAAAATACCTTACCTGGAGGGATAAAGAAAATAACTCAGGGCTCATCAAACCATTTGTCCTCCCTCATTTACCTGTTAATCTTTGGGGAAGAGACTTACTCTCGCAAATGAGAGTAATAATGTGTTGCCCTAATGACTTAGTTGCTGCCCAAATGCTAGCTCAGGGATACAGCCTGGGTAAAGGTCTAGGGAAACAGGAAAATGGAATCCTAAAACCCATCCCGGCTATAGGCCAACTTGACAAAAGGGCTTTGAAAATTTTTGATTTCGGCCGTTGACATGCCTGCACCCCAAAGGTGTGCTGATCCCATAACCTGGAAGTCAGACAAGCCTGTTTGGGTTGATCAGAAAAATTATGTGTCGCCCAACAGTTAGTGCAGGAACAATTACTGGCGGGACACATTGTTGAAAGTAACTCTCCCTGGAACACTCCCATATTTGTCATTAAGAAAAAATCTGGAAAGTGGAGACTATTACAAGATTTAAGAGCTGTTAATGCTACAATGATGCTTATGGGTACTTTGCAACCTGGCTTGCCATCTCCAGTCGCAATTCCTACCGGCTATTTTTAAATTATTATAGATCTTTTTTTTTTTTTTAAAGATGACTGGTGAGGGGATCTTAACCCTTGACTTGGTGTTGTCAGCACCACGCTCACCCAGTGGCCTTGCTCGGCCCGTGGCCTTGGTGTTATCAGCACCGCACTCTCCCGAGTGAGCCACGGGCCGGCCTTAAAATTATTATAGATCTTAAAGACTGTTTTTTCACAACTCCTTTACATCCTGATGATCAAAAACGTTTTGCCTTTAGTCTCCCCTCAATAAATTTCAAGGAACCCATGAAACGGTACCACTGGCTGGTCTTGCCTCAAGGAATGGCCAATAGTCCCACCTTGTGTCAAAAGTATGTGGCAGCAACCATACAACCAATTAGAACAACCTGGAAATCCATGCATATTGTACATTACATGGATGATATTTTAATAGCAGGACAATCGGGAGAACAAGTTTTACAATGCTTTGCCCAGCTTAAACAGCAGCTAACTCTGACAGGCCTACAAATAGCTCCAGAAAAGGTGCAACTGCAAGATCCTTACACCTATCTGGGGTTTCATATGATGGGACCACAAATCACCAATCTTAGGGCTGTTATTCACAGAGACCAATTGCAAACCCTTAATGATTTTCAAAAACTCTTGGGGGACATCAGTTGGCTCTGTCCATATCTGAAGCTACCACAGGAGACTTAAAACCCTTATTTGACATATTACAGGGAAATTCGGACCCTACATCTCCTAGATCAATTTCCCCAGAAGCACTAACTGCGCTTCAAAAGGTAGAGGATGCTATTGCGGCTCAGTTTGCTACTAGTATAAACTACACTCAACCCTTCACGTTTATCATTTTTAATACAACAACTGCCCCTACTGGGCTATTTTGGCAAGACAACCCTGTTATGTGGATTCATTTGCCTTCCTCCCCCCAAAAAACCTTTGCTTCCTTATTATGATGCTATTGCAGATTTAATCATTATGGGCAGAGAAAATAGCAGAAAACACTTTGGGCTTGAACCACACCAAATAATCCAACCTTACACTCAACAACAAGTTAATTGGCTTTTACAAAATTCCAATACCTGGATGGTAGCTTGTGCCTCGTATGCAGGCATACTAGATAACCACCACCCATCCAACAAACTTATTCAATTTTGCAAACTACATGCCTTAATATTCCCCGAGGTTACTAGCAAGTCACCTTTAGCTGATGCCCTCTTAGTGTTCACTGATGGCTCATCCACGGGAACTGTGGCTTATACTATCGGTGACAAAATAACTCGGTTTAACACCCCTCACACTTCTGCCCAACTTGTGGAATTACAGGCCATCACTGAGGTGCTTTCGGCTTTCCCTAATCCAATTCTTAACATTTATACTGATAGTGCCTACTTGGCTCATTCTATCCCACTCTTAGAAACAGTTCCCCAAATCAAACATATCTCCAACACTGCTAGGCCTTTTCTACACTGTCAAAAACTCATTCAACATAGACGCTTGCCCTTCTTCATAGGTCGTGTTCGGGCACATACCGGCCTCCCAGGCCCTCTATCAGAAGGTAATCGCCTAGCCGACACAGCCACAAAAACCACGGCCACGGTCACAACCGACCCTATAACTCAAGCCCAAACTACTCACGCCCTACATCATGTTAATGATCACACACTTAGATTGCTGTTTAAAATTACCAGAGAACAAGCCAGACAAATAGTTAAACAGTGTCCTGCCTGTGTCACACACCTGCCCGTCCCCCACCTAGGAGTTAACCCTAGGGGATTTGTTCCAAACATGCTCTGGCAAATGGATGTTACTCATTTTTCAGATTTTGGCAATTTAAAATACGTTCATGTATCCATAGATACTTACAGTGGATTTCTACTTGCCACTCTGCAAACTGGAGAAGCTACTAAGCATGTCATTGCCCATTTGCTTCATGGTTTTTCAATTCTAGGAACTCCTAAACAAATTAAAACTGATAATGGCCCTGGCTACACCTCAAGGGCCTTCCAAGATTTCTGCACAAACTTACAAATACAACATGTTACGGGTATCCCCTACAATCCTCAAGGCCAAGGAATTGTTGAAAGAGCACATTTGACTGTAAAAACTTGCCTTGAAAAAATAAAAAAGGGGGAATGGTACCCTACAAAAGGCTCCCCCAGGAACCTGCTGAATCATACTCTTTTTATCCTTATTTTTTTGAACCTAGATATTAATGGCAAGTCAGCAGCAGACCGTTTTTGGCATCCTGAGTCCCAAACTCAGTTTGCCATGGTTAAGTGGAAGGACCCCCTAGACAACACCTGGTATGGCCCAGATCCAGTTCTGATCTGGGGTCGAGGTTCGGTTTGTGTTTTTTCCCAGAAACGTGATGCGGCCAGATGGCTGCCAGAACAATTGGTTAAACAAGTTGATCATAACCTCTCACCCAGGGACTCAGCTGATCCCTGAGATCGCCCTTTCTCTCCTTTTTTTGCAGGAATAATGAAGACTAAACGCCTTTTTTGGCTAATTGGCCTGTTCTGCCAACTGACGTGGGTCCAATCTGGATTTGAGGATCCCGGAAAAGCCCGTCAACTGCTAACTGCGGTCTACGGTAAACCGTGTGAGTGCGAAAGAGGAGTCATTTCCAGTCCTCCAACGAATACTCGGTCATCCGTAGATTGTGGTGACCGCACGGCTTTCCAGGCTGGCTGGTCAGGGACGTCATCCCTCGAGTGGCGGTGTGTCAATAAGCCTAGGGCTATACCTACTGCTGATGGGCACCCTGGCCCGTGCCCCTGGCAGACTTTTGCTGATTCTATGCATAGTTCTTGTTACTCTGCTTTTCAACTATGCACCCATGGAAACAGTACATATTACACAGCCACCTTAGATAAAATTTATTCAGGGTCTTTCGGAGGGGAGTTTGCATCTCCCTCCTCCGCTGTCGGATCACCCTCGTCTAAATATAGCCTAGCCCCTTGCACGGGCACAGTGGGCCGACCTGTGTGTTGGTCCCTTACTGCTCCTATTCATGTATCTGACGGAGGAGGCCCTCAAGATCAGGCTAGGACATTTAAGGTACAAGGAAAAATAGAAAAAATGATCGAAACTTTGTTCCCCCCATTACAATATCACCCTGTAGCCTTACCTAAGGCCAGGGACGAGTTGAAACTCGACCCCCAGACCTCCAACATCTTTCAAACCACCCATAGCTTGCTTAATGCATCCAATTTTAAACTTGCTGAGAACTGCTGGCTTTGCTTAAGAGTAGGACAGCCTCTCCCCCTTGCCTTCCCCACTCCGCTTTCCAATTACTCCTCTGACGGACAGTGCTCCTTAACCCTTCCTTTACAGGTACAGCCTTTACAGTTTACTAATTCCTCTTGCTACCACTCTCCCTCAGTTAACAATAGTTATGAAATTAATGTTGGCTTTGCCACATTCACTCAGTGTTTGACAATTGTGAACATCTCCACTCCCCTGTGTGCTCAGAATGGCTCGGTTTTTGTTTGTGGGAACAATGAGGCTTATACCCAATTACCCACTAATTGGACGGGATTGTGTGTTTTAGCTTCTCTCCTACCCGATGTAGACATTATACTCGGAGATGAGCCTGTCCCTGTCCCTTCCATTGATCACATAGCTGGGAGGGCCAAGAGAGCCGTGCAGTTAATTCCCTGACTTGCTGGACTGGGGATTTCTGCTGCAGTTGCGACTGGAACTGCTGGCCTTAGCCAGTCTATATTTCAATACACCAAATCGTCTACCCAATTAATCTCAGATATGCAAACTATTTCCCAAACTATACATGATCTTCAAGATCAATTAGACTCCTTGGCAGAAGTAACATTACAAAACAGAAGAGGCTTAGATTTACTAACTACAGAACAGGGAGGTATCTGTTTAGCCCTACAGGAAAAATGCTGCTTCTACGCCAACAAGTCCGGTATAGTCAGAAACCGAATCAAACAGCTGTAAGAAGACCTGGAAAAGAGAAGAAAACAACTAGCGGATAACCCCCTTTGGACTGGGCTGAATGGATTTCTGCCTTACCTCCTCCCCCTTTTCTGACCGTTTGTGTGCTTGCTCCTCTTGCTCTCATTGGGTCTTTTTCTGTTCAACAAACTTATGGCATTCATTAAACAGCAAATTGAGGCTATTCAGGCAAGGCCTATACAGGTCCATTACCAACGTCTTGAGATGCAAGAACAAAGTGGTTCATGTGTTCCACTACATTCGCCTTAACAATATGCCTCCCCTGTGAGCCGAACTGGATAGCCAACGACAGGTAAGAGGGTAACATCCCCACACCACCTATGACGGGAGGGCCGCATCTGCTGCAGCCTAATCCTATGACGGGCACTGTGTGCGGGATAGATTGCCCCAACCTAAGACAGGCACAGTTCCTTAGGGGTCCACTTGGCTTGAAAAATAAAAAAAGGGGGACCTGTCCGGAGCCTTGGAGCCCGGCTACTGCCTAAGAGCCTGCCTACCTGGAGCCATAGAGCCTTGACCATAGCCTCTAGGCCTCAAGGCCTTAATTGCTGTATTTTTCCACTTCCCCCTCTTCTGCTACTTGCACTGCTGTGGGCGTAGATAGCGTTGCTACCTTGCCAAAGATAGCTAGGGACTTTTCTATTTCCCGGAACCACTTGCCCTGTGGTTTTTCCCGGAAAACATCTGCATACTTCCTTATCTGCTGTCCCCTTTTGCTGTTTATATAAGCTGTGACCTTCTGGCTAATAAATGAGATTTGACCAGAATACTGTCTTCTCTCCATTTCTCTCGTCTCTTGTCCCATCCAATTCCCACTCCCCCCTCCAGGGTCTGCATTGAATATCCCGCGGGTCAGGACACCACCCCAAGCCTAGTCCTTAACCCTTGCAGAGCTGTGGACCTGCCCTACCTGGCTGTGCTCCTCTCTTCTCTTTGGTCCCCTCCCCACAGTCCTGCCTCAGTTTTTCCTTAACAGGTGCCCCTTCCCCACATCCTCCCACCTTCCTTCAGGTCTTGGCTCAGAAAGCCAAGCTCCAGCTGGCCCAGGAGGGTAGATGTCCCCAGGCCCCCCAGAAGTTATTGGGGTCCAGCCGAACTTTACACCTAACTTCCCCCAAACAGGATAATTCCCTGGTGGCAGGGGTGCCTGAAAGAAAGAGGATGGGAGTTAATAGTAACTGGGGGGCTGGCCGGTTTCTCACTTGGTTAGAGCATGGTGCTGATAACACCAAGGTCAAGGTCAAGGGTTCAGGTACCCATACCAGCCAACTGCATAAAAATTACTTTTTACTAATTACTATACATATAGTAACTTGAGGGTCCATGGGTAGGGTTGGATTTGTTGATGTCCCTCCTGTGCCCTGCCCCCAGCCTTTTAACCAAAAAGGGAAAAGGAGTTGCTTTGTAATATATGGCATTCATTCATTCATTCATACATTCAGTTACTCATCCACCCACAGCCATGTATAAGCCTCATCTCCCACCCAGACCGGGGCAACCCTTTGAGGCAGGGACTGTTCTATTTGGGGGTGAGGGTGGGGCTTAAAATAGAGGGCTCCCCAACTTTACTTTGGACCCTCTTTCCCAGTCCCAGCAGGGCTGGCATCATCTCATACTCTTCCCAGCAAGCCAATGAAGTGGTTAGTGTCCTATTTACAGATGGGCACCTGAGACCCAGAGAGGGGCTGCCCCTTGCCCAAGATGGCACAGCCCATAAGTGGCAGAGCTGGGATTGTTTCTGTAAAAGGCCTTTCCCCCATCTCCTCTCCAGGATCTGTCAGCTCTCATGCCCGCTGAGTTTCCTGAAGGCACCAGCAGGGGACAGCAGACTCCACTGTCCCCTCCCAGCAGCTGCCTGGACCTCCCAGGCTGGAACCTCTAAGGCCAAAATGCAGAGGCCCCAGAAAGAAGGAGCTGTTCTTAAATAAAGCCCCCCCTAGAACTGACGTCCTTATAAATGCCTCACTCGCACGTGGTCTCTCTTAAGGTCTGTCTCTATCCTTCTTGCTGTAACGCAGTTGCTGTCCCTGGGCGGGCAGCCTCTGCATTCCTGCACCGGGTCAGACAAGGAGAGAGGATTCCTGGATCGCAGCCCAGTGGCCAGTCTACCCTCGAGTTCTCACCCCCCAGACTCCTCTGAATATCTCTGGAGCCCAGCACAGGATGGGAGGGCCAGTGGGGGAAGCCCCAGTGCCCTGCCCAAGACGCCTGGTTCCTTCAGGCGTGGGAACTGCCCTCCCCTCCACACCCCCAACCCCCGGTTCCTGGGGCCCCTGCCAGTGCTGACTCATAGGGGGAGCCCAGGGCTGTGACTCAGCAGCAGCTCTTCCTGAACCTCTCCCTGAGAGATTTCCTGCCCCTTGTCACCTACTGTCCCTTTGGGGGTTGCCTTGGGGACCCAGATATGGGCTGGGTGAGCATGTGAACCAGGCAGCCTTTCTCACCTTCATCAGTCCAGAGCCCCAGTTCCCAAAGTCCCCCAAGGCTGTGCACATTGGCTAGTGGGTGGAAGTGTTAGGTTATGGGGGTCTTGAGCAGTGCCTGTGTGTGCCTGGACGTGTGTCTTGCATTCTCTAAGAGGCAAAGCTCAGGCTGTTGGCGTAGCATCCTATGCACCCCACTGGAGTCCGGGCAGACACTCCAGGCCAGAATGGGGCCCTGGGCTAGGAACCCCTTTCCTCAACTGCAAACCAGCCTCTCCCACCATCTTCCCCTTCCGGAAATGGCAGTTCAATCCTTCCAGCTGCTCATGCCAAAACCTTTATTAACAGATGCACTAGTCCTAGGGCTGGCCCGTGGCTCACTCGGGAGAGTGCGGTGCTGATAACACCAAGGCCATGGGTTTAGATGCTATATAGGGACGGCCAGTTAGCTCACTGGCTGAGCGTGGTGCTGACAACTCCAAGCCAAGGGTGAAGATCCCCTTACCGGTCATCTTTAAAAAAACAAAGAAACGAAAAGAAACATGCAGTCCATTAACAATTTCCGTGACTGTCCTTTCTAAATGCACCCAGAACCCTCCCCTCTCCCTATGTCCCCACCAGGGTCTAGCCCCCATCATCTCTCCCCCTAATGAGTCCAGTCACCACCTCCCTGATCTCTGTACTGCCACCACAGTCTGTTCTCCCCACAGCAGCCAGAGGGTACCTGTGAGCCCGAGTCATTTAGGTCCCTCCTCTGCTCAGAGCCTTCCGTGGCTCCCACCTCACTCAGAGAAAAAGCCAAAGTCCTCCCCATGGCCCACAAGGCCCTATACTCTCTGTCTTGTCCCCTCCCTGCCGTCACCTTCTCCAATCCCTCCCTTGATCACTCTGCTTTAAACACATGAGTCTCCTTGGCCCAAACCTCAAACATACCCTGCGTGGTCCAGCCTCAAGGCCCTTGCACAGGCTGCTCCTTCTGCCAGAGTCTCACTTGCCCCAGATTCCCATCTCCCTCCTTTACCTCCTTCAGGTCTCTGCTTGAATATCACCTCCTCAGTGGGAGCTTCCTGACTCCCCCCAACCCCTTTTCTTTTTTTTTTGACCAGTAAGGGGATCACAACCCTCGGCAAGGTGTTGTCTGCACCACGCTCGGCCAGTGAGTGCACCGACCATCCCTATATAGGATCCGAACCCGCGGCCTTGGCACTCCCAGCGCCGCACTCTCCCGAGTGAGCCATGGGGCCGCCCCCCCCACCCCTTTTCATCATGCTCTAACCAACTGTGCTAACCGGCCAGTCCTGACTCTCCTATTTCAAATTGCACCACCTTGCTTTATCCTGCTCTATTTTACTCCATAGGCCTGATACTTTTGAACACACTATTAGTTTTACTACCCATCTTTTTTTCTTGTCTGCGTCCTGTATTCACATGTCAGCTTTACCAGGACAAGAAACTGTCTCCATCACTGCAGTAGCACCTAGAGCAGGGCCTCAGTCAATACCTGCTGAATCAATGTATTGATAATTACCATGTTCCTGGTATGCCAGGGAACAAAACAGACATGGAACCTGCCTGCCCCCCCCTCCCCCGTCTGGCAGGGGGACGGTCACATAGTGGGCCAATTATAATGAAGAGATTTGAGCACAAGAGAGTACAGGAAAGGCAAGGCCCAGCCTAGAGGAAGCCAGTGCAATCAGGGAAGGCTTCTGGAGGAGGTGAGGCCATATAGGGGCCTTGCCAGCCAGTGAGGAGTTTGGATTTAAAACAAGAAGGTTTCAAAGGGTTTATTATTATTATTAATTATTATTATTATTATTATTATTATGGCAGCTGGCAAGTCTGGGGATCCTAATTCTTGACCTTGGTGTTGTAACACTGTGCTCTAACCAACTGAGCTAACCAGCCTGCCGAGGATAGCACTTGAGAGGCAGAAGCTGTCTCAGTCTCACAAAGAAGACTGAGAAGGAGAGACAACTAAGTGTAGTGTCCTGACACCAAGGAGGAAGTAGGCAAAGGTGTCAGATGCTACACAGAGGTCGAGGACAGCGACAACTGAGGAAGTCGGCTTGACTCGGCAGCATGGTGTCCGTGGTGTGATCAGGCAGCCACCTGAGAAGTAAATGGAAGGGAAGCAAGTAAGGCAGCGTCCACAAATATACTGTGAACCACACATATGAGACACACGTGGAATTTACAAATGTTTTAGTAGCAACATATTAAAAAATAATTAAAAAGAGGGTCTAGTCACTTAGCTCAGTTGGTTAGAGCACCGCCTTATAACACCAAGGTCAAGGTTTCAGATTCCTGAACTGGCCAGCTGCCAAAATAAATAAAAAGAATGTGAAATTAGCTTTAATAACATATTTTATTTAACCTGATATATTCAAAGTAGTATCCTTTCAACATGTAATCAAGATAAAAATTATCTTTTTTTTGGAGGCTGGCTGGTACAGGGATACCGAACCCTTGCCCACTGTGTTATAAGGCTATTCTCTAACCAACTAAGCTACCTGGTGAGCCCAAGATAAAAATTATTAATGAGATATTTTACATTCTCTTTTTTCCTTTGGTAGTGTCGTCAAAATCGGGTGTGGATTTTATGGTTACAACACATCTCAATCCAGACGAGCTGCATTTCAGGCACTCACTAGCCACATGTGACCAACCAGTGGCAACCTCACTGGAAAGCCCAGTCTAGACATGCCCCTGTCCTGCTTTTGTGACATATATACTTCACTCTCCTCTCCCTGATCCCAGCCCTATCAGATCATGTCTTGGTTGAAAATTTTGATATTTGTTTTTTTGTTTTTGTTTTGTGGCTGGCCAGTACGGGTATCTGAACCCTTGACCTTGGTCTCATCAACACCACGCTCTAACCAACTGAGCTAACCAGCCAGCCTGAAAATTTTGATATTTGGTTCATCGTGGATTTTCCTATTAATTTTGATTTCCAAAATATTGTATTAAGGGGGCTGGCCCGTGGCTCACTCGGGAGAGTGCGGTGCTGATAACACCAAGGCCACGGGTTCGGATCCCATATAGGGATGGCCGGTTGGCTCACTGGCTGAGCGTGGTGCTGACAACACCGAGTCAAGGGTTAAGATCCCCTTAGCGGTCATCTTTTAAAAAAAAAAAATATTGTATTAAGGTATTATTTAATCTTCCACACAAAAACTTGTACACCAATGTTCATGGCAGCGTTAGTCATCTGAGCCCCAAAGTAGAAACAGCCCCAAAGGTCCATCGACCAGTGAAAGGATTTGAAAAATGTGGTATACACCAAGGTCAAGGATTCAGATCCCCTAACCCACCAGCTGCCAAAAATAAATAAAATAAAATAAAAATGTGGTATTATCTATACCTCATATTATTCAGCAATAAAAAGGAATAAAGTACTGACACTTGCTACAACATGGATAAACATTTTTTTTTTTCCTGGCAGCTGTCTGGTGTGGGGATCCGAACCCTTGATCTTAGTGTTATAACACCACATGCTAACTGACTGAGCTAACCCGCCAGCCCTAATATGGATGCACTTTGAAAAGTGAAAGAAGCCAGTCACAAGTCACAAGTCACATTGGATGACTCCATTTATATACAGAGACAGAAAGTAGATTAGAGTTGCCAGGGGCCAGGCAAGATGAGGGGGAAATCAGGAGTGACCGCTAATGGGTTCCAGGGTTCTTTTTGGGGTGATAAAAATGTTCTAGGGCTGGCCAGGTAGCTCAGTTGGTTAGAGCACCGTGTTATAACACCAAGGTCAAGGGTTCAGATCCCCTTACTGGCCAGAAAAAAGAAAATGCTCTAAAATTAATTGTGGTGATGGTTACATACTCTATGCATATTCTAAAAACATTCACTTGTACAAATAGATCAATTGTATGGTACGTGAATTATATTTCAGTAAAGCTGTTAGAAAAATATTTAATCATGATATCGAATTTTTTGGTATCCCCTTAAATTGTGCGTCTCAGTGGAGTGACTCCCCCGAGGCCTGACCTGCTGTTCCTCCCACACCAAGCCGAAGAGGGACAGCTAAGGTGGAAAGAAGGCCCCAGGGTAGACAAGGAGGGGAGGCCAGGGTAGGAGGGGTGGTGAAGCCCACCAGATGTGCCCCAGCACCCTCTTTTCCTGCCCGAGGTCATGGGCTTGGAAGAACCTTGCCTCTTCCTGGGGTTTCTACGCAGCCTGATTCCAAGCGGCCCGGCCTGTCCGTTCTACCAAACGGCCTGACTCAATTTGCCCGCTCTGTGCGTGGGCCCTCTGCTTGTGACCATTTGCTGTCCCCTGAGTGACTCAGGCGGCCTGGAAGCCCCCTCCCCAGGGACGCCCAGCTGCCCACGGTGAGTTTTCACAGACATGGCGGAAGCAGACTGGCGCCTCCCCAGCCTAGGCTGGGCTCCTTGGGGCAGCCAAGGCCCCACAGCCCACCCTGAGAGGGCCTAGGGGCTGGGCTGGGGGTGGGAAACTCTTCTCAAAGGGCCTTTGTAGGAGCAGCTGGGGGGGCTGCGGGGGGACCCCGCCCTGTGTGACTCAAACCTCATTGCTGGGCGGTGACTCATGCCCAGGCCCCCCTCCCGCCGGCCTGCAGCAGGTGCTGCCAGCTCCATCTTCGGATGGGGCCTCCGCAGCCACTTTCATGCCACCCTACCCTGGGCCTGTGACCCGCACCCACTTCCAGGCTACCCAGCTTGCCCTCACCTCCTTCCCATCCTGGGCTCAGACCACAGGGAAAACCTCCTAGACCCCATTTCTCCTTGGGGTACCGAGATGTGCCAGTCATTGTCTCATTATTGATTCATGGAATCCTCAAACCACGCGACGAGAGGTAGTGTGTTCTTGCTATGTCCCTTTAACAGATGAGGAAACTGAGGCTCGATGAGATTACATTTTGCACACAGACAGACATAGGAGATTCAAACCCAGACTCAGAGCGTAACAATCCTGTTGCCCCGCCGTGTCATTGGGGGAATAATCCCAGCTGCTTTGTACACCAGTGATGGATTACTGAGTCCTGCAATGTCGCCTCCATTTTCCTGTTGGGCAAACTGAGTCAACGAGCTCTTAAGTCAAAGATCAAGAGTGAGAATCTACGCAGGGAATCAAACCAAGCCCGGGAGCCCGGGCCTGCTCCGCCGCTTCCCCACGGGCCTCGGGCGCCCACTCGGGGGCCAGGGCGCCCCCGC